TTGTCCATGTGTCCAAGGTTGGCAGATTCAGCAAATTAAAATACAGAATGCTCAGTTAAGCTTAGATTTCAGATAAATTACTGTTGTTCATCCAAAATTCAGATTTCATTGGGTATCCTGTGATTTAGTTGGCAATTCTAGCCAAACTTGTTAACAAAATCACAGGAGGGGTATTTTGTATTCTTTAATACAAGCCCATGATAGCCTACACAAGATGTGAATCCACATGGAAGTTTTCAAACAATAAATACAAGTTAAAATTTTCTCTTATTTATTAAACCAGCATCCCTTGCACGTTCCCTGCGCCTAACACTAAGTTACATGTTGGCCTGTATGAACATAGTAGCCTATTCCTGGCAGAATTATTATTATGTGAAAATAAATGCAGACTCCTCCCAGTGCTAATCAATACATATATTATTACTATTTTAATATTTATAGTTCCTATGATTGTAAGCTCACAAGCTCTTTCATTTCTTAATTTCTGAAAAAAAAATATCTTCATCACAATGTGACAATTACTTCTATTAATTTAATCACTAATTGTTATCTTTAGCAAATATGCAGAAACATTGGCTTGTGAACAATAATGGAGTGTAATGAACCTGAAAGAAAAGCAATACACTGATATAAAGAGGAGGCTTTCAGATTAGACTACAAAATCTAGGTCTTATTTTACCTAAAATAACCACCATTTAATTTTCAGTTGTTATTGAGATACTATTATTTTACATCCTTGCTACTGTTTTCACAGTATAGCCCCCCCCAGGTGTAGGTCCACCATAGACCATTGTGGTCTCCCCTCCACCCCTGTTTCCACTCCTCTCTTTCCCTCTTCCCCTCTGAATGCCCAAGATCTATGGTCAGGTTTTCAAGGGCTAGCTTTGTTTGGTTTTTCTATATTCTACCTCCAAGTGACACTATCAAGCCTGTATCTGTTTTTGTTGTCAAAATCTTTCAGGGAGGCACCAATGGTTTACAACATTGTTAGCATTTTGAAAGTAGAGGATTCCTTCTCTTCACATGTAGTTACCATGAGATACCCAACATGGAAGTGCCCATACCCCACCACCACAGCCCAGTATGTTCACAGCCCACATTGTTTTCCCCCCTTTCCCTTCCCCTTTGGTACCCAGTTCAGTATTAAGCTTTCAAGGGTTAGTTTTTAAGTTTGATTTGGCCTGACCCTTTGTTTTGTTTTGTTTTTTTTTCAATATTCCTCATATAAGTAACTCCAACTACTCAGCAATCAAATAAAAAGATAAATTTATGTCATTGTGGCAACATGAATGGAGCTGGAAATGATTATGCTAAGTGAATGAAATAAGACAAAAGAAAAAAGAAAAAATCTGGGTTTTAACATAAAATATATGTTATTGGGTCAATTTCTTAAACGCTTTGAATTTTATATTATATAGAGATGTGATAGGATAGTTATATTGAAAATGCATATGAAAATTTACAGGCCTGGTACATAGTAACTGCAAAATGTTGTGACTCTTCCTGCTGAGAGAGAACTGATCTGTTTTGTTCATTATTCCATCCTCATAGCCTATGGCATTGATTGATATGTTCTATGTCACTAAAATTATTGACTGACTATAATAATTATAGTAATAGTAATTATAGTAATAGCGTTTTCCCTAAGCAGTCACCTCTGCATTCCAAAGCTCTCTAGTACTTCCTTGAGAATGACTGAACATTCCTGGTTCTCAAGTCCTCATGAATTCTCTTCAAGCTTTTTTATTCTTTAGATCCAG